TCCCAGAAAAGTTAAAATCCAAGTGGTCTGGACCGTTTACGGTTGCCCAAGTATTTCCTTATGACACAGTTGAATTGCACCACCCAACAAAGGGAAATTTCAAAGTTAACGGTCAACGCATCAAGCACTACATAGAAGAGTTTCCCATCGCCAAAGAGAGCCTCGAACAGGCTGTTCTAGAATAACCGTAGTACTAAGTCCAGCTAATAACTTAAAAAAAGCGTTATTTAGGAGGCAACCCAAGCTCTACCCTTTATTTGATTATTAGCTTTTGTTTTAATTTCATTATTCTTTTGATACTTTACGCTAAAGTAATAACACCTTCTTTTATTTTTTTTAGGAAAATTTCCAATGGAAGGCTACATTAAGTGTACATATTGGATGGAGCTCAAGTTATAAAATGCAAAGAACGGGTGCTATGAGAAGGAGGTTAAAAAAAATAATAATAATAATCTTAGGGGTCTTGATAACTAGTGGGCTTAAATCACTAAGTATAAACTAGATTGTTGAAACACTTATAAATTGAGAGAATCACTACATGAATAAATTGTTGACGTTGTCGGTTGAACTAAACCAAATTAGAGTGGTGTGAGGAAATCCAAAGTGAAACGAAACTTTAGAATTACATCATGGCGAAAGAATAGAAGAAAAGAGTTTGTAGTGTATGAATCTCACGAGCGAAGAAAGGAAATAATTGACCATTGAGGGTTGAGAAGTGAACCAACTTGTGAATGTACGACGTTACATTTGATCCTTAACACACACACCCGCTTTACATTGTATGAATGGAAGTTTGGTTCTTGCATTGTGATTTTGACACCATTCATAAATGTGATCTAATGTTCTCAATGCTGAGCCAAAAAAGACAAGTTGTCTAACCAACTATTTGTGTGTGTATCGTCCTTTAGTGATTTTATTGTTCGATATGTTTGTTTGCTCGAGGACTAGCAAACGATTAAGTTTGGAGGTATTTGATGAGTATGTTTCACTCACAATTTTAACACAATTTTAGCTTAATTATTTGTCAAATCTTGTGAGTAGAGAACCGTTTTGATATTTTTGTTAGTGTTGTTTTGAAGATAAGGAAAGACTGTGAAAAGAGGTACTCAAGTGGACGAAGCGGCCAAAAATAACGAAATTGGAACAGAAAGGTAGCGTCTTGGCATTGCAATCGTAGTGACTGGTGCTAAGGAAAAAAAAAAAAAAAAAAAAGGAAGAATGTGTAAAGAAAAAAAAAAAAAAAAAAGAAGGAAGAATTTAACCCGAGAGTCAGTGCCTTGGCGTTGCACTCATAGCACCGAAATCGTGGAATGAAGTTTGAACACTAAAATCAAACGAACATTTAACTCAATTGAGTTCACCACAGTTCGCTGAAATCCCTAACCTAAATCCATTCAGACAATTAATACATAATGGAGTTCCGCAACTAATTGTCATCCAGAAAACAGATATAATTCACATAACCAGACCCTAATCACAAGATTTAAACACAAAGTGTGCGGTTTAATTCACTTTTCCATTTAACTAAGCAGATTATTTACCTTCTTGCACTTAGCCAGCAGTGCGCTCGCCAAAGATCTGAGAAAATTTCCAATCTAGCGGAGGCTGAGGACCCGCCGAAGAAGCCACCGACCTCCATCATCACCCCCGTTCATTTTCCCTCCCTTCAGAAGTCGACGATCGAAAATATCCACTAATAAATGCAATTTAAAATACAAAAGACAAACAAAATCTCCTTTACTCTCACTTCAATAAATCAGAAAACAAAAGGATTACGAAAATCGATCAGATCGGCGTAGATTATATGAATTGGAGAGTCCATCCGAAAAAGACAAAGATCGGAGCAACAGCTTCATTAAGCAATGGATTCGGATTCAGATTCAGATTGTGCATATGCAATATCGATTAGCACAAAAAAGGAATCAGACTTCCTCTCTCTACCTCTTTTTGTATTTTCCGAGGACCCACTAATCTTACCCTTACAATAAACTCTAACGTTGATGTAAAATCGTGAGATGTTAAGGGTATGTTTGGTAGATAGTAAAAGTAAGCAAAAGGGTTTGGTGTCAAAACGAGCGGGCTGGCCAAGTTTAGTGCGATTTAATCCGGTCGAAAACCAATTGGATCCTATCAAATCATGTTAGAGGAGTTGATTTGCAATAAAAGATGAGAAATACTATAAGTACAAGGTGCGGTTGGTGTCAAAACGAGTGGATTGGCCAAGCTAGTACGGTTTCATCTGATTTAAAACCGATGGGATCCAATCAAATCGTGTTAGAGGAATTGATTTACAATAAAAGATGAAAAATGCTATAAGTACAAGGTGCGATTGGTGTCAAAACGAGCGGACTAGCCAAGCTAATACGATTTAATTTGGTTTAAAACCGATTCGATCCGATCCAATCGTGTTAGAGGAGTCGATCTGCAATAAAAGATGAGAAATGCTATACGTAGGATTTTTCACATATTTTGTATAAGAAGACTGTCTCCCTATGATTGACTGTTGCCAAATACAAAAATCAGTGAAAAGGCCTGTACTTGTAGAATTTTTCATAATAGATGCACCATGCTCTCAATTTTCTAGCCCGATGAGATATGTGGACCAATCTAGTCATCCATTTGTTAGAAAAATATAAGACAAGTGTAATTATTTTATTTTATTTTATAAGCAAATTATCAACATAACTGGAAGATGATCGACAGAAATATCTAGATTTTCTTTTTTCCATCAATACAGGCTAATTTAAATCGTACCATTAAAAAAACAAAAAAAAAAGAGGGGGAAAAAAGAGAGGGATAAAATCATCCATTTGGCTCATGTCCATCTTAACGATGGCAGTGGGTCCCAATTATATAAAAATTCATTTTTTCTTAAACTCGTTTGTAACTTATATTTTTTAATGAAATAATTTTACTTGTAAACTCAAACTTTTTTCCTACTTTTTAGTTACAAATTCTCCAAAAAAATTTACTATTACAAACCTTTTTTTTTAATAAAAAAAATTGGGTTCAAACACCCTAAATTGGGGTTGAATGCATTTAGATCCATCAAATTTGACATACCTATTTCGACACATTTATGAAAAGATTAAGAAATAAAATGTAAACATAAAAAGAATAAAAAGATATATGCAAATATTCTACCACATTTATAAAATAAATTTATTTAAAAAGTAACTTCGATCCATTTTATGCTTAGCTGAATGGAATAAATTCACTTTTCTTTATAGAGGATGAAAAATAGAGGAAAAATTAACAAAATTTCTTCATTTTCCTGTTCATTGACTTTTAATTCCCCACACTAAGTTCTTATATTGGTATGTGACATGCAGGAGTTGATAGGTGGTGAGGGTGAATCAATTGAAATGACATGAACACATTTTATCATACTAGTCTTTGCCCATTCAATGCCCTGGCTAGGTTACTTTGAAAGTAATTTTAGTATATTAAATGTTTTGGATTCTCGTAAATTAGATACATCAAATTTGTTTTTGCAATTTTGGATTATCACCCGTCAACGAATGTAATGATTAGAACAAAAGTCAAAATTACATAAGCAAGGGTTGGCAAAGCATATTGACCATGAAATCCCATTGATGTATTCGAATCAGAATATTTCTTCCCAAACAAACTACCTCTCCTGCTCCAATTTTCATACATTAGCAACCAAATTATTTAAGGGGATATCTATATCAACCATATGAAACCCAGGCACCAGAGTTGTAACCCTTCTCAAAAGCTAGGCCTACTCATTTCTTGGTATCAACGATCTACTAACTAAAACCCAATGAGCAAAATCACCATTAAACATCAAAGCAAACCACAAATAAATACAGGAAAACTAAATAAACGAAGTACCTGGGATGTAAAATTGCAAAGAAAATTTGACGTCAACATGAGGAAACCTACGGGCTCGATTAGGTTGATTGTTTTGTAATGATCAATCAAACGTGGCTTTCATAATCAAAATACCAAACAGTTGGCATATATTTGAGAAGTCTTAATAACGTGTAAAAACAAGGATCCATTTTCCAAATATCTCATAGCAAGCAAAGATTCTGAATTTCGCTCATCAAACCTCATACTTTTCCTTAAGAGTTACCTTTGATCGTTTCCTTTCTTCCCCATTAAGTTTATTCGAAGCATGCGAAGTGATTCTGACATTCCCTACAACCCGATCACTATATTATCCCGACGACCAATTTTAGATGAACTTGCAATTCCACATATGGAGTGCTCGAGCATATGGCACCCCGGGATACCATGCCCGATCACTTCTTGCCTGGCTGCTTTACATATTGCGATACTTGTCCTCGAACATAAGCAGCCCTCGAGCATAAGCTCCCCTCACAAACTACGATTGTTGACTCTTTAGAATTTCTATGCAATTAGGACCCTAACTCAACCATATACTTGACTCCCCCAAGGACTCTATCACACATACAATTATGGTATTTGACCAATTCCTTAACTGTACAAGACTCCAACGGATAAAGACATCCAACTAATTGAATCCCACTAAGAAAATGTCGCTTACTACTATAAATAAGGAACCTTGAACCATTATTCAAGTACGTTTTTCATTATTCTCCAATTTATAGCCTCACGCATATAATTTCCTTTCTGACTTAAGCATCGGAGAGGCGACGGGAACATACCTCGTTGCCTTTGTTTCAAGTACCGGAAGACTACAATCATGCTCAATCCAAATCATCAAATTCGGGAAATCTGCATGTACGATTTTTGGTGCATCACGAAGGGTAATGGTTTGCTTCAATTCTTAGGAAGGCATACCATATGTTAAAAGATTAATCTGATTCAGATGAATTTATCTAAACCACTATGTTTTTTGAATCCTAAACCAATAAGTTAAAAATTGATGTAAACCCCTCCCTAGTTTTGTTGTAGCAACTATAATTCGATTCATCCTCTTTTTTCAAGGAGGAATTACATGCATACAAATTAAAACCATATTGTAAGCAGACTTCAAGCAATATATGTCGTACATGCATATTTATTCTCTATTTTTTGAAAAAAAAAACAAAATTAACATCAATATTTTGCATGTTTAGCTGTTAAAACGAGGCTTAGAGTATCGATTGATGAGATCAAATTTCTGAATTAAGTTCTCTTTGACAATAGTTTTAAATTTTGCCAAAAAAATCCAACAAAATCACAATTCAAAATCTCAGTGTGGAAAAGGCCCCAAGAAACAGATAAAAGTTGTCATTTTAATGACAACGTAGAGAACAGAATTTTATCATTCCTGTCATTTGGACTTTCACCAGTCTCAATCTTCAGAAATGTATCCCTACAAAAAGCAATAGTAAATCAATTGTCATATGAATAATAGATCAAATTTTTTCTATTCTTTATTCGTAAAAGTAATCAGATTTAACATGACCAACATAGACGGGGACATGCATATCTAAACTTAATATTGCAAAATACACAAAGATCAGTGCAAGAACGTAAAGACACCAATTAAAATATGGAACATTTTCAAGTGAGCAAAGCATATTACTCAACTTCATAAGGAGTACAAAAAGATACCAAAGTAATTCCAGACTCAACTAAAATATGCCTCATCACATAAAATATATCTTTGTTCCAAATGGCTCTGGTGAAGGATAATTTATAGAATACCAAAATGAATATTCTTTTTTAGTTGTAAAGACCATTTTGCAAGATTTTAATTATTTTTTTTAACAAAATCACATTCTAATAAACATACATTATGCATCCACATGACAATTATAATCTCATCATCTCAGGCACAGTTGACAACATAATCTGAAAATACAAGCACTTCTATATATAAATTGATGGCATGTAAATTCAGCTGTGCATGTTTTTTAAAGCTTAATTCAAATTACTTTATGCTTGAGAACTTCAATGACCACTGTATATGTCACCATCCATTCTCGCTGAACTCAGTAAGAGTGTGGTTGTTAGCTTGCCTTGAAAGCATTAAGCATACATGTATTCCCGAACTTCCCCCACTTCTTCAAACGACTCTTTGAGTACATGATCCACATAAAGGCAGATCCCAGATCCAATACTATTTAGAATCAATGCTTACCTCAATAAATCTATTATACCATGTGTTAATAACTATATGTTGAAACGAAGTTCAAACTATAGTTTACCTCAATGGCCCAAAAGGAAGCCGTGAGATATCCCACTTAAACTTTGCCTATCTGTAGCATGGATGTAAACTCAATCAGAGTGGAAATGAATAATAAGATATTTAATGGAACGTGTTCTTGCTAATTGATGGAAGATAATCATAATCCGTAGGTAGGCAAACACCTAAACATAGTTCAAGAGATCTTCTCTCCTCCTAAACCACCAAGAAAAAAATGTGATCGTTGCACAAGACCTTGACATTGCTTTGCTTGAATTTTGAAGTTAATAGAGGGAAGCATAGAATGCAAAGAAACCTTAATCTTTTAAAGACAAGAATAAGAATTTGTACTTACGTTGACAGAGTGGATTGGTTATTCAATATATTTCTTTGCTTATTTTCCATAGATTTATTTAGGAAGCATCAACTGGGAGAGTTAAATTGCATGAATAGTATGAGAAAGCATATAAATAAACAATTTATGCAACAAAAATTATAAGTAAACTTAATTAAACTTTAGTGACTAAGCATATAGCGATAAAAAATTACGGCGACAGTTGAAATAAATTAAAACAAAAAAATGATTTTCAGGGCAATGCTGCCGATGAAAATAGTAACAAACAAAATCCATTTGAGTAGTGAACTCATAACATCATTCCCAGTATGCAATACATGGACTACAAACTCACCTATCAAGAAAATGGAAATACAAAATTAGGAGGAAGAACCTAACCTGCAGACATGATGCTCCACGAATCAACCTCGTACATGAAGTATGCACGATGATGCTGTTTATCGGATAGAAACAAGAAAAATGAGCACAGAGAATGACACAGGTGTAACAACCCTTCCAATGTCCATTATGATTGTGAATAAAACCAATTCAAACCAAGCTTAATATAATCTCAGGCCACGATGAATTTTAGACCAAAGAATAAACTGAAATTGAAATTGAAGCTAAAAATGAGCCATAATAGGTAGGATTTGTAAGGCTGAGGCTCATATCAGATAAGGTCAACATTATAAATTTATACCACTATTTTTTCAAATCTATGTTCTTCAAATCTTATCATGTGAAATTATAAAGACATAAAAGTGAATTTATACTTACCACTTAGGTTTTGGTTTCATTTCTTTCGGAAACAAGATGATGTCTACTAATATGAATTAGAATTGAATTGATTTTCATGTTTTTAGAACAAAGAATTCCCTTTCAACTTAGTTTTAGTTTTTCTATTGTATTTCACGTTTCATATAATACTTGGTTGTAATTGTAAGTTATAACATATTCAACATTCATGCAATATTTTAAAAATGAAGGATTTATGTGTTTTAGATTAATGACCAATTTGTGAGAGAATCTAGCATTACTTATAATCTCTCACGACTTCAGAATGAAGGTGAACTAAGAAAAGCTTACTCCCTTGTCCTTGTTGACGCCTCTACTATTCATTAACTTTAGTCCTTTTTTTTTTTTTTTGAGACATATATTTTCAAATATCGTAGTGCATCCTTCATTTGTGTATAAGAAAAGTAGTGATGGTACTTTATGGCAGTGCCCACAAATGCTTATATCTTATGGTCTGTTTAAAGTTCTGTAATATTAATTTGCATAAACCAGCTGATCAACATTCATACACCCGACCACATTTGGATGAGAGCGATAATGTTGGATAAGAGCTTAGGATGCATAATTAATCCAATTATGAGTAAGTTTGGTTCTAATTATGGTCTTGGATGATGCAGGGACCACCAATTTTGCATAAAATCTTGCAACATCAATAGCATAGGAGAGAAGTAGACCCAATTTATCATACTTTGCAAAAGATTTTATTTCATTAGACATAACAGTAAACGTACTGCTATATTGCTAAATCTAAAACTCTAAATGCATTGAACAGTATGAACGAACAAGGATACATATAGCCAGCTACAAGTTAATTGAGAATAAAGTTTAGCAAATTGAGAAAATGAGTACAGCTGTGTAATAAAAATGTAGTTTAGCAAACATGCTGTACAAGAATTAAACCAGTATCAACTCAGTGAACTAAAAAACAATTTAAAAAATATATTAGAATAATCATTCATACTCATAACTTCCAAAGAAAAGACTGCTGAGCTAGATTCTTCTTGAAAGATCGAGAAAGCTACTCTTACTCGATACATAGATAATTCAAAACTAAAGAAATTCAGTTAACACTCAATTATTGATATTCACACACAATTACAATAAATGAGCTTTTGCGTATTGAATAACTGGAAACCTTGGGTGTCACTCAGATGGCCATTGTCGGAAGTAGAGAGAAATTGTTGTTGTCGTCATTGAATTGAGATGCTCGACAAGATTTTAGTGCTATACATGCCGAAATTACTGAGGACCTTAGTGCTATACATGTTATATATAGGCGTATCAACTATACACGTTTTTATACGGTGATCGATGAGGAAGAAGAGATCGAAACTTTTGAAGACGGATAGGATTTTGTAATGTTAATGATTGATGTTTACGACTTAGTCACTTGTCGTTGTGTAAATACTATAATGTATGTGGAGTAAACAGTAAGTGGTATTTTATAAAATGAGAAAATGATGCCTAGTAAAAGAGGGTAGTAAAGATGAAAGAATTTTGATAGACTTTGACATACCGTCATATTTGCCTGCTGTAAAATAGATCTTTAGGAAACTTTTGAAAAATCTGCAGGCATTTCTTTTGATAAAAAATTTATGATAGTCATTTGACTAAAGTGTAATGAGACGTATTTTGTAAAACAAAAATTCTCTTTTGGTATAATATAAATTTGACGGTTCTTTTAATTCTTTATATTCTAAAATTTGATTTCCTTGATATCTTTTGATTTTACTGCAAAATGTTTGATATGATTTTAATCTAACGATAAAAATAAATAAATTAGAGAAATTAAGAGTAGTGAGTCACATATTTAAACATTGTACAATTCATTCATTCATTTGTAATTACGAAATAATTGTAAAATGTATATTATTTATTTAATATTTATTTATTGATTTTATAGTTTATTTAAATGTTTCATAAATTATGTTAAATGTTAATGTATATTGTGTATAATGAATAATAAAATAAAGTAAATGAATATTAAATAAATAATATATGTAAGAAATTAAAATTGTTAATAAAATATTTACATAAAAAACTAAATAAAATAGTAAATAAACACATGGAGAACACAGTATGTTTTTAAAAAAAATCTTCAAATATTACGATTTCAAATACTGATAGAATGTGAAAATATTACATAAAGATTAAATTTCATTACACATCCGTTGTATTGTTATTTAGAGGAATCTAAATTGTACAGTATCTTCTAGTATGCCCTGTTGCGCTGCACCTACCGCACTTACGAGATTGAAATTTTTTTTTCGGTTGATGGTGTTCTAGACGTACGTCTACGTCCAGGAGTACGTGGTTCGACTTTGGGCGGCAACAAATTATTTAGTGGAAGAATGTGGTCGGGAACTTCCCACTCAACTTCGTTTGGTACAGGAAATATTGTTTCGATATACGCTGCTCTCCAATAATCAGTCATGTAATAAACGTTTGATTTTTTCACTTTAAACTCGAAATTATGCTTCAAAGCAATTCGGTGCATAGCTTCCTGCAAATCTTTCTTTGATTCGAACAGTTGCTCAACATATACATCTTCATCATTGGGAACTACACGCGAACAATTAGAGGACCGTGTACTCGGTCCAGCCTTTGAGCTCCCACCCGACTCATGTTTCCCATGTGATAAAGCAATCAAATTCTCATTTGTAAATGCATTTTCATTTTTGTTGTCATCAATTGTCGAAGGAATTCTGCGAGTAATAGTGTGACCCTGGTGAGTAACAACTGTCTCGGGAATAACTACATCATCTTTATGAGCAATCTGCACTCTATCACAAACATCATTTACATTACGATCTTCTTCATCGAAAACTTCCTGTTCACCTACAGGGACATTCTTCCTCAATAAAGTTACACAAATAGGAGTCGACTTTCGACCTTGGTTCAATTTAATTAGATGTTTCATCTCCACTTCAGAAGTAATTTTCATAGGTGGAATCGAAATGGTTGAATGCTTCTGAAATAAAAATCCCAATTCCATATCGTACTGAGAGGAATCGATGGTAAGCATGTTTTTTATATCATGGTACATTTCTGTAAACAATGTACTCCTTGTTATAAAAATTGCTTTAACCCCATCTCCTTCACTCGTCCATCTCCATTCCCACTGACCATTTTCATTCTTTTGAAATTTACCAAAATAACAAATTGGAACACATGCTGATGCCATACCTGTATCACAAATCAAAATATTAGAAAATAATTAGGTTAAACATAAGGAATTAATATATAATTATTTCAATTGTTCATTTAATATTTAATTTAATTTTTTATTTAAAATATTTCATTAATTATATTAATTGTTCAATTAATATTTATTTGATTTATTTCAATTAGTTATTAATTTACTGAAATAAACAATATTGTAAAAAATTAAATGTTTACAATAATTATTTAATATAATTATTAAATATTTCTAATCAGCCCAGACCGTCTGGAACGGTCGTTATTGTTCCCATCTACTTTGTTTGACAATTTTATAGACGATTATGATTTTTTTCTTGTTTTTGCTTAAAAAATTATAGATTCTTTTAAGATTGTAGAAAATTATCTGTCCACCTCAAAATAAGTTTTAATTATTCGAACAATATACTAAAATTCTAAAACGAAATTAAAAGTACGTAAATATACTTACCGATTTCAAGTGATGCTTATGACGCAGATGGAAAATGAATTTTTTTTTTATCTGTGTTGGAGAAACTGATAATGAAATTGATTTCGTTTTGAAATTCAAGTGGGAAGTGTTTGGATTTATTTATAATTTAAGAAGGGTATTATTATCTTTTGAACAATAACATATTTTTGTAATTACAAAATATAATAAGGGTAAAAATAACATTTACTCTTCAAAATATTCTTTTGATGAATGGCAATTTTTT